AATTTTGGGGTTGGGAGCGGTACTGATGCAGAGAGGGCATGTGATAGCGTATGCATCGAGGCAGTTGAAGCCTCATGAGTCGAGGTATCCCACCCATGACCTAGAGTTGGGGGGCAGTGGTGTTCACCCTCAAGATTTGGTGCCATTATTTGTATGGGGTTCGGTGTACGATATACACGGACCATAAGAGTCTGAAGTATTTGATGGATTAGCCCAACCTAAATATGCGGCAGAGGAGGTGGTTGGATGTGCTTAAGGATTATGATTGTTAGATCCTGTACCATCCGGGCAAGGCTAATTTGGTAGCCGACACCCTGAGTCATCGGGCGGAGAGTGCCCCGTTGCGAGGTGTATGTTTGCGTTTGACCGTGATGACTCCGTTGTTGGACACCATTCGAGGAGCACAGGATGAGGTAGTGAGGTCGGAAAACCAGAAGAGAGAGCGAGTTGTTGGATTGGTATCGGAGTTCGTTACCGCTGGTCGGGGGCTTATGACTTTTCAGGGGCGTATTTGGGTACCGTTCGTGGGAGGTGCGCGTGCCATTTTGATGGAAGAGGTACATCGGTCGAAATTCTCGATCCATCCCGGGGCCACTAAGATGTATTTGGATTTGAGGAAGGAGTATTGGTGGCCCTGTATGAAGAGAGATGTTGCGTGGTTCGTTGAGAGGTGCTTAACCTGCCGTAAGATTAAGGCCGAACATCAGAGGCCGCATGGTAAGTTGCAGCCATTGGAGGTTCCCGAATGGAAGTGGGAACAGATCACCATGGATTGCATCACCAAATTGCCAAGGACTGCTCGGGGAGTTGATGCAATTTGGGTGATTGTCGACAGGTTGACGAAGATCACTCACTTCCTTGCCATCAGTGAGAGTTCTTCCGCAGAGAAGTTAGTAGAGATATATGTGAGGGAAGTGGTATCTCGACATGGGGTGCCGATCTCGATTGTCTCTGACCGGGATGTGCGTTTCACTTCCAGGTTCTGGAAGAAGTTCCATGAGGAGTTGGGTACTAGGCTGCATTTTAGTACCGCATATCACCCCCAGACAGACGGACAGAGTGAGCGGACGATTCAGACCCTTGAGGACATGCGTCGAGCATGTGTATTCGATTTCGGGGGAAGTTGGGATACGTATTTGCCGTTGGCCGAGTTTTCTTACAACAACAACCATCATTCGAGCATCGGTATGCCACCCTTTGAGCTGTTGTACGGGAGGAAGTGTTGGACCCCCATTTGCTGGGGAGAAGTCGAGCAGTGTGTTATGGGCAACACGGAGATAGTGCTTCAGACGACAGAGCAGATCCAGCAGGTCAGACAAAGGTTACTGACTACTCAGAGTCGACAGAAGAGTTATGCGGACAGACGCCGGTCCGAACTTGAGTTCCAAGTCGGTGATTTTGTGCTCCTGAAGGTCTCTCCTTGGAAGGGAGTGATCCGATTCAGGAAGAGGGGCAAGTTGGGGCCCCGATATATCGGACCATTTCGGGTAGTCGCGAGGGTAGGCAAGGTAGCCTATCGCTTGGATTTGCCAGCAGAGTTGGGGCAGATTCACGACACTTTCCATGTGTCGCAATTGCGGAAGTGTATAGCCGATGAGTCGGCAGTGGTTCCATTGGATGATATTCAGGTGGATGTGAGCCTGAATTATGCTGAGAGACCAGTGGCCATCAGAGATCGTAAAATCAAAGTTCTGAGGAACAAGGAGGTACCTTTGGTCTTAGTTCAGTGGCAGCATCGGAAGGGGTCCGAGATGACGTGGGAACCGGAGCGTGAGATGCGAGAGCAGCATCCGGAGTTATTTGCAGAATGAGACTTCGAGGGCGAAGTCTAGTTCTAGTGGGGGAGAATTGTAACAGCCCGGAATTTCCAGGTATTTATTTTTGGGCATTGTGAGTGGACACGGCGAGTTGGAGCTCAAACTCGCCGAGTAGGATCGCGGATTTAGGCACGGGTTCGCGTCCGGACTCGACGAGTCCAAGAGTGGACTCGGCAAGTCCACGTTGTGTGGTGAAACCCTAATTTCCGAGGTTTGATACCTATTTAAAGGGCCTTATGGCCGTCATTTGTGCTCACCCAACCCTTAGAGAGAAACCCTTGAGTGCTTAAACGTTTTCAGAGAGAAAGGAAGCATTTCTTGACCTTGTGTGTGTCATTTAGCAAAGAAGGAGGAGATTCTAGGCAAGAGGAAGCAAAGGAGGTTGCTATACTGTGGATTTGAAGCTTATATCATCGATCTAGAGGTATGATTTCGGCCCATCTTCTGTTTTGTGAAGTATAATGGGATTTAGGGTTTCTTATGGTCATTATTGGGTTGATTTGATGCCAATTAGTTCCCTTCTTGTGTTGAGGCTCTGGATCTGGATCCATAGAGGTCCAGAGAGCCTCACTCATCAAGCTTTATGTATAGTAATGGAGTTTTTGACCTTGAGTTGTAGTATATGGGTCAAAAGCATCATATACGGTCATATAGATATTGTAAGTGCATCAAGATAGTGACTTTACGTGCTAAATAAGCTTGGAAGGACTGGATCTATGGGTTAATGGAGTGGATCTGACCTTATGAGCAAGTTTGAGTCATTGCATGGCACGGACTCGCTTAGTCCGAAGAACAGACTCGGCGAGTAGTATGAATATTGCCCGACCACACAATGAGTGGTCTTGCCGAGTTGGGAAGGGCTGACTCAGTGAGTCAGGGGGAGTTAGAGTGGACAGGTGGACTGAGTCAAGCTGGACTCGCCGAGTTGTTCTTGAGACTCGGCGAGTTGAGTCGTGGTGGCCCCACAACTCATGCCAGGTGGAACTCGTCGAGTTAGAAGAATACTCGACGTGTCAAGGGAGGATTCCAGGGAAATCAGTGTATACGCTCAGACTCGCCGAGTCGCTATAGTGCACTCGCTGAGTCCGGTCAAAGTTGACTGTTGACCAGCGTTGTCCTAAGTTGACTTGTTAAAGAGTAGTCAACCTTAGTTGGTAAAGTGTTAATTAGAGATGTATTATGATTTAGGAGGACTATAGCTCGGGAGATCGAGCGCTAGTGATTTCAGGATTTACGACTTACCGAGACACGCGAGGTGAGTGTTCTCACTATACTTTACCTTGAGTAGGTAACCAGAGTTATGTGATAGAGTATTTGTATGCTATGTATGTTATATGTTGTACTGCATTATTTCTATGTGATTTATGTTGTGCATGTTTACAGAGTTAGAACCTGAGGGTTCATAGAGTTTGGGTGCACGGACCCACAGAGTTATAGCCTCGAGTGGCTAATATGTGTTATATGTGGTATTTTGGGAAACTCACTAAGCTTTGTGCTTACAGTGTTTGATGTTATTGTTTCGGGTACTAGTGACGACCGCGGGAAGGCGCCGACTTGATCCGTACACACGCACGGAGTTTATACATTTGTGATCTTGGGATTTTGTATTTACTTGAATTGGATAATTAAATATGGTTGTTTTATTAATATTAAATGAAATATGTTTTATAAAAATTTGAAAATTTTGTTTTGAAATTTACGGTGTTACAATTGGATCTTATCCTCTCGCAGCTTTTAGATTCCGATTTATGACAGAATTTCGTGAGCGTCATAATTTTCACGTCGTGAATTGGATCTTATCCTCTCGCAGCTTCTAGATTCCGAATTATGACAGAATGTCGTGAGCCTCATAATTCTCACGTCGTGAGATAGCTAGTTTAGGGTTTTTAAAAGCTAAATCTTCGGAATGCCATAACTTTTGCATACGAACTCCGTTTTTGATGTTCTTTAGATCCACGCGTAGGTGGAGACGTATTCTAAAACTTTAATTTAGATCCCTAAGGCTAAAAAGTCTTCTATCTTAAATTCACTATTTATGTCTCTCGGTGCCGTGCCGGTTTTGCCGAAAAACTTCGACGGGCCATAACTTCTTCGTTATAACTCGGATTTCGACGTTCTTTATATGTACGGAACCCTTGAGATATATTCTACAACTTGGTTAAGATTATTTATTATAAATAATATTTTGTTGAAAAGTCGTTTTCTACCCCTATTATCTCTATATTGACTAGCCCGGATATACGGGCGTTACAGTCAGGGTATGGGTAGAACCCCAGAAGGCTCGGGGACACTCTTTCCAGCTTAATGTCGAGGAGGCTAGGACAAAACCAACTGTGGTGGTTGGAATGTTTCTTTCCCTTATCTCATTGATTATGTTTATTGTATGCTTATGTGTTTGCACCTATGTTAGGTACGTTCTTAGTGAACTCGTTTCCTACTCTGGTAGTGTTTGACTCAAGATCGAGATGGTCTTTTGTCTCTTGATCTTTTAGCAGGGAGTTTGGTTTGCCTTTAGGATAGTTAGAGTGTCCGTTCCGAGTTTCCATCGCCAACAAACATGATATTTCTGCTTCATCAGTTTACCAGGGTTGTATGTTATTGTCGAGTGCTTGAAATATTCTCTTCTGGTCAAAGATTTGACCATATCGGAGATTGTTCTGATGTCTCTCTTATCAAAAGCCTATTCGCCTGCTTGCTATATCAAGGGGGAACAAAGAATTACCTTCGAAGTTCACAACAGGAAAAGCTCAATCACCAAGTCCCGATTTTGCTCCTTACTAGGGCTCAATCAGAATGATGATATGGTTGACCCTGATTCTGTCTCCATCACAACCATCATGGAGATGTTTTGCCAAATAGGGTACAAAGAAACCCTAACTACCATCTCTAAATTCAGGAAACCCAACCTTCTACCTCAATGGAATGGGCTTTTTACCCTTTTGTTCAAAAGTTTTTCTGAGCGTGTGACTGGCTCCGATTGTACCAGTAAGTTATTCATGACCATCATGTATGAGATTTACATGGGAGGTCAACATTGATTTTGGGGTTGTTCTTTTGTCTCAATTGGTCCTAAGTACCCATTCTACAACCCAACATAGTGAAATTTCCTGTGCTTGCTTCCAGAAAATCATCGTTCAAAGGGCAATTGAAAAGCTCCAGATTCCATTGATGAAAGATTGCTTTATGCCCGCTGTTTCAATCTTCGACACTACAAACATCATTCTTGCAGACAACTCAAAGTTCTCATTGTTGGCTCCATTCTTGAAGCCATGTTTCACGATGTTGGATTTGTTGATAAATTCCTCAACCGTTTCATCCAGTGTTGCATATTCGCAAGCCGTTGTCAAGGCAATGCTTGACACTTTGACGAAAGAACACACTGAGAGCCTAGTAAAGGAGAACAAGACTGTAGAAGACTCAACAACATCCTATCATATAGCGACCGAAAAATTCGAAAAACTAGTTTCTGAAACTCAATCATTCATGTCGCTCTTCCAGAACTCCTTCTAGAAAAACACTTCAAAAGAAAATGAGGTGCTCACAAGTCTTGGGCTAACTCTTTGCACTGGAAAGGAGTCTCTTGAGACAGTTCGCACCAAACTTTAACACGATAACACTGGGTTTCAGCACTCCATCACTGCTCGAATCAACAAGCTCCATGAGGATTTGGCACTTGAAAGTAAGATCATGGATGAACTGGTGGCCAAAACAATGAGGGTCAAGGTTCAGTCCCTTAAGCTCTCTCAAGCAAACAAGGAGATCGAAGAACTCAAATCTCAATGAGCTGTTGTAAAAAGTTGCATTTCGGATGTCAATGCCATGCTCTCCAATCTCATTGAGGCTCACAATCCTCTCTTCCCCATTACCATTCGCAGGAATTTGGCAGATAAACTTCGCCCAATGATTTCCATGCTCAATCACATAGGGAGTGTTTCAGAGTCTGTTTTCCTTCCAAAACAAGGGGAGAATCAAATAAAGAACAACCTTTGAAAGTTTCTCGTGCTTCTGTACATGATGAAGAAAAACAAAAAGTCACAACTGCACAGAAGGGTCATGAAGCTTTGGTTTCAAAAGGAAAAGAAAAAGTTGTTGATAGTGACGAAGACCAACCTGATGAGCAAGAGCTGAAATGAAGGAGGGATCGTGAGGCTGAAATGGATGAGCATAACAGGATAATCAGAGAAACTGAAGAGAAAGCCCGAGCAGAAAAAGATGCTCAAGCCACTCTAAAAGGTCGACAGACTTTATTTCCATTGTAGATATGAAGCGATTGATCAACGAGGATGTTGAAAATCCCAGCATTTACTGGCTGGAGCTTATTACTTCTTTTGACCTGGAGAATATTGTAGATTTGCAGTTTGATAGGCCAATCACTCCGAGAGCATTCCTCTTTTGCAGTTTCGGGGCAATTGTGGATGCTCCTCCATCTGATGCGAAAGTAGATAAATCTTTGATGGAGTTTTATCTGAAATTTGCCAAGCCTCAATATGAAACGTGGAGTACACAGAAAATTACTATAGTGAAGATTGTTGGGCCAGTTGAAACCAGAAGTTTCGTAAATGCCAAATTCAAAACAGTGAGAGGTTCATAGAGTATTATTCATAAGTTTCCTCTAGCTGATCTCCTGTGTCTTAACCCCTATGACTGGATTGTTTTGTTGCATTTCCTTCTGAGGGAAGAGAAGAAATATGAGTCGATAGTGGAGCATATAAAGAGGATAATAGTTTCGTACATCTATGAAGTTGCGAAACTTGACACTGAGATCGCCACTACAATGCAGCAAAAGCCAACTGTACTTCCCTGCGGCTCAGCAAGTGATGTTAACAAGATGCAGATGGGGAAGATAGACAAAAACAACTGGACCATGATGTTCCATCCTGAGACTATAGAACGTGGCGACTTCGTAAAGTGTCTGTTCGCACTTCCTGATAAACATCTCTTCTCCACTACGTGCCTGAACTACATGTTGAAGATTACTGGCAAATGTCCAGCGAATGATGCTTGTGCGAAGAAGAACTATTTAGATATGATTAAATGGTATATTTCTTTTCGCAGCACTCTTCTCGCAGTTATGCCCAAGCTCTTCAAGACTACGAAGAAGGCACCAAACTAAAGAAGAATCTCGCCTCAACTGACGCAAAGGGAGAGATTGTTGGGTTTAAGTGTTGCGTCATTGTGATTATTTGTTTAGTCCATTTTGTAACTGGGTTGGGCCTGTCCACCCATCTTTTATTATTAGGGTTATAATATTTAAGGTGCATGCATGCATCGTATTTTGTATATTTGAAAATAGTCTTGTAACCCTACACGCCTCTACAATAGCAATTCTTCATCGAGTTTCTTCTGAGGCTGTGGTTTATAATCATTAAGCACATTTTGATCTATTTGTCCTGTTCATATTCTTTACTTGTTTGAACATATTCGATCTAAATAGTATTCAATCCTAACATAGCTCGGTGTGGAAAACCACTATCACAATGTACACAATCCCTTCTTCATAATCATTCGCACCAAATGTCAATACAAATAGTTTTACCACCGCAACAATCACAATTATCCCATTCGTTTCCTTTACAGCTACAATTTACAAAAGAAGAAGATGAACTAGAATCAAAATAAAAATCCAACAATGAAACCCAAAACCAAAATCCCAAAATCCAAGGTTTCAAATAATAATTCCAATACCAGAGCATTTTATTCCAAGACCTACTCATGCTAGAATGGTGTCACTGGAGACGTTTCATCGAAAACAATGATTGTGTCCGACAATGATCACAACAACAATAAGTTGACAACTGACATCAAAGGTGAAGATAAAAAAAGTGTTTGGTGATGGTAGAGAGAGAGAGAGAGAGAGAGATTTGGTGTTGAAGAAGATAATGTGGAAACCATTAAAGTGTTGTTCTTTATGGTTTAACTTTACAACCCCCAAAAGTTGATTTTACAACAATAAGTCACTATTTACCATAACTCAAACTTTAGTTTGTTAGGTCAAAATAACATTAACCTATTTATATACAAGTTGATATCGATATTTGATGAGATGATAGATAGACATTAAATAAGACTGTACGTCGTTCTCTTTAGTGATCATATAATAAATTTTAATAAATAACTAGTAAAAACTAATACTTAATAGTAATAAATTTAAAAGACATAATATCAAATCACCGAATAATCATACTATTATATTAAATAAAATGGATATTACACTAGCCATTTTTACATGACATTTCTCATCATCAAAGCGAGATTGATTTAGCCTGATTTATACTTCTCGCGAATAATTAAATTTTTATAGATGTCCATCTGTTATGACTATTTTGATTAAATTATTTATTATTTATTAAATCTTAAAAAAACAATATATAAGATTAACATAAGTTTTCTTTTTTCCTTATCAAATAATTATGTATTGAAGAACTAAGGCACGTGAAATGCACGAGAACGTAATCCACACTTTTAATTAGGTTATTCTAGACTTCCAAGAACTTTCTCCTCTTCCTTAACTGAAGCAATTGCCTCATCTTTTACGATTTCCGAATACGCGGTCACACGGTCTCATCTTTCCTCTCACTTCCCTTTTCCACAACATACCACACACGTCACACGTGTGCCACTATATATATGTACAAGGAACTTGCATACTACAAACCAGACCAACAACATTAACAAATAACAATATCTCCGACATCATTTCGATACAAATGACGATCAAGAGAAGCTGGGAAGACGACAAAGAGGTAGAGAGTCTAGCCATGGCTAACTGCTTGATGCTGCTTTCAAAAGTTGGTGAATCGGGTGCTTCACCGGGTCGGCTTTTCCACTGCAAAACGTGTAACAAAGCGTTCAAGTCATTCCAAGCCCTCGGCGGCCACCGTGCCAGCCACAAACGGCTGAAATCATCTGACCTGAGTGAGCTGCCGTCGCCGGCGAAGCCAAAGATACATGAGTGTTCGGTTTGTGGGTTGGAGTTTGCGATTGGGCAAGCTTTGGGTGGTCATATGAGGAGGCACCGTGACGATGCTAATGATAAAAGTGGTCGGCCGGTGGTGGCGCCGCCGGTACAGTTGACGGAGAAGAGATGGTTGTGGGATTTGAACTTGACGCCGCATGAGAACGACTTGAAGCTGTGGAGTAGTAGTGTAAAAACGGCTCTTGCTATATAACGACGGCGTTTTGTTTGAACAAATGGAAGTTGATGGCTTTATTGATCGTCGTCACTGGACTGTGCATATATATGTTCATAGGCAGATGATAATTAGAAGGGAGCAGTTTAGATTTTAAATTTAAATTATTTGTTCTTTTTTTACATATTATTTTCACATATTTTTTTTGCTTATTATGGAAAAGATACTCACAGTTTTCTTCTCGTTTGACAACAAAATTGAATTCGTGTGTTTGACGTTATTTTCATCATCAAACAAATTAAATGCAAATATAAAATAAATTAAAAACTTAATAAACAGACTTTTTTTTTTGGAAAGGGAACTTTCCTAACGAGAGTTTCCGGACCAACTTTCGCGCACCGACTAATTCTCTGGAGTCACTGCAGGCGAACCTCCATGGCCAACATATTTGGCTAGAAGTGTTCATCGGTTTAAATCCAACTAAGTTGATGGAACCGATCCAATCCAATCGTCAATTGGATATTCGATTTTGTGAATCAATCTAATCTAATTCAATACTACTCCGTTTCAAATTGATAGTTTATTTTTGACTTTTGAAGTTTTTTTTTTTTTTTTTTTTTTTTTCAATTTTGACTTTAATATTTTTATTTTGATAGATAATATTTGATACAAAATATATGAATGGATTGTATTTTAAATGTTTTTCGTTGTTATAAATTTCATGAAGTAATATATATTACAAATAAAAATATTTAAAGTCAAAATTGAAGAAAAAAAGAACATCAAAAATCAAAATTGGACTATCAATTTAAGACACAAGGAGTATAAAAAACCAAACCGTCCAATCCAATTGGATGTTGGATTCAATTAATTTATCAAATGAATCTTTTATTGGTTTAATTCATTTGTTATCTATTATCCAACTAATTTTAATCTCTATATCAAATAACCAAATATAACTATGATAACTAAAAATAAAACAACACACAATTTGTCAATTACATTAAATAAGACTAACATAGTAACATTAACTTTAAATCTTCAACTTATATTTCTTGTTGAATAATTGATAATGTTAACTGGACGTGGATAATAATATTTTATATTTATTAGGTTATAATTTTATATTCAATTGGACGATTATCTATTAGTTTTTCAAAATGACCCAATTAAGGATCCAATACAAATGGATTTTGAGGTTTCACATTTGATTTATTCAAATTGTAATTGGATATGCAATCCAAACGGTCGGTTCTTCGTTGGTTCAAATTTGATCGGTTAATATATGCACACTTTATGTTCAACAAACTGCAAAACTAGTTGCAGCTGATATGTGACAGCTTTTAGCTAAAGGTTGGAAACTATAGATTTTATTTGTATATGAATATTCAAAAAAAAAAATTAAGCTTTAATAACATGTAAAATTACAACCATTTGGGTTGTAGTGATTTGGTAATGTATGTGGAAGATATAGTGAATAATATATTGACCTATATTCAAATCCTGACACCACTCAACATTTGTGGTCATGGAGGTTCGTCTGCAGTGACTCAAAGACATGGGGCAAAATCTCATGTTTGCAGCGGAGGATTAGTCGATGCGTAAAAGCTGATCTAAAAACCCTCGTTATGGAAGTTCCATTTCAAAAAAAAAAAAAAAAAAAAAAATGTAAAATTACATAAAATGAATTATCAAAAAACATGTTAATTTAACAAAATAATAATAAATAGATTTATAAAATTATAAAAAAAGTTTTTTATTGAACGATATTTAAAATAAAATTCTAATTTAAAGCTCGTTGTTTTTAGATAAAAACGAGAAGATCTACTAGAATTTAATTAGTGGGGTGTGATCAGTCTAGAAGATTAATACATACAAAGTCAAATTAGTACGTAAAAGAGGGGGCTGCTTAATAAGTTGATTGATTTATAGACCTCAAGAATTTATTAAATTTCTGTAAGATTAATTGGGTCCAAGGTCTTTAGCGTGCACTCTTTGCTTTTCACACTGTTTTGATTTGTTTCTAAAGATAACATTACCAATTATAAAATATATTGAGTACACTTAGGATAGAACTAGACATTGTGAACATAATATTTCTCGAGATTTCTAGCTTTTTCGCTTACATTCATTTATTGTTTTATTACTAAACAAGTTATATATATATATATATATATATATATATATATATATATATATATATATATATATATATATATATATATATATGGTTAAGTTCAAATGAGAACACAATTTAATGTAACAACGTGAGAACACTACTTTATGTTACTATTCTACTATGAATTTAATATGTATATTATTGTAGTAATTATAAAATGAATATATTCAATTTAATACTATATTCTACTATAAATTTTTTATATATATATGTAGTAATTTAGTAAATTCTAATTTAAATGTTAAATATGTGATTGTTCTTATATTCGGTGATGAATAATGTGATAAAGTTGTACATACAAAATTTTAATGTAAATATTAATGTATGATTGTTTGTATATTTATTGATGAATACTGTCATATCGTTGTATATACAAAATTATTAGTAGAATAGTAACATAAAGTAGTGTTCTTACGTTCTCACATTAAATAATGTTCTCATTTGAACTTAACCCTATATATATATAAATGGTCCCTGTGATTTCCAGGAATATCAAGTTTAATCCCTAAGTTCAAAAAACCTCACAGATAGTCCTTGTGGTTTCAAAACTTTTAACAAATGGTCCTTCCGCCTAACTCCGTCAGCTTTCTACCGTCAAGTGAGAGACATTTTCGTCATTTCAATACACAAGGACGATTTATGAGGTTTTCTCTATTTAAAAAAAGAGAAAAAAAATATAATTATTTAATTAAAGGACCCCACTCTCTCTCTCTCTCTCTCTCTCTCTCTCTCTCTCCCCCCCTCTCTCTCTCTCTCTCTCTCTCTCTCTCTCCAATACTAAAATTAAAGACACACATTAGAAGATCACAAACATTAACAAATCGAGAGTGAATGAACAGATCTTAATGGATCATACTTGCTTCTCGAATGGGCAATTACCGGTGTTCGCCGGAGGAGCATCCGCGGCGGTGTTTTCCTCCTGAGATATTAACTCCCCCTTAAGCAGCTTTGAGATAAGATCTGTTAGATCGTAATAGATCTCAACATCTTCTGCTCTCATTGATTCATCAACCTTCCGATTTCATCCAAAAACCAAATCGAATTTTAGTTTATACATCGAAAATTATACCTATTTCAGTCGGAGAAACGAAGAGTACCTTGAGGATGCCCATGCCATAGAAATCAAGCATTTCGCCGGTAGGTTTATGGCCTTTGAATGGACCTTCAAAGTACCCCAGTGCCAGAATTTGTACGATATCACCGGAGGTCCGGAATGAACTCTGATCACCTCCCACGCAAATCCACGAGGAAACGCCGATCGGAAAACGTCATGAGAGGATTCGAAGGTTTCTTCTTCTGCTTTGTAGTACTTGTACTCTTCTGGAAGTGTACTTTTCAGCAATGCATTGTAGCTTCCCACCTTCAGTGTTTCTTCCGCAGACAATCTCTCTCTCTCTCTCTCTCTCTCGCACACCCACGAACGAACACTAGTCTCACGCATCCAGAACTCTTCGTAGATTCCACCTACTTGATTGAATCAATTGCTGTTGCTGAATTTGAAGGAATATTGATTCCAGAATTATAAGGAAAAGGCAGTCATGGTCGACATTTAGGATCACTTGCAGTCGAACGCAAACCAAATGATCGAGTAGCGATTGGAGAAGCAATTAAGGTCGTGACCTGTTTCTATGAAGATAAAATGGAGTGGGGTAAACGAGTATGGTGGATGTACGAGTCAATTTTCCCCAGTTTTCCAATTGTGTGAGAGAGAGAGAGGCCCTTTAATTAAATAATTATATATATATATATATATATATATATATATATATATATATATATATTTTAAATAGAGAAAACCTCATAAATGGTCCATGTGTATTGAAATGATGAAAATGCCCCTCACTTAATAGTAGAAAGCTGACGGAGTTAAGCGAAATGACCATTTGTTAAAAGTTTTGAAACCACGGGGACTATCTGTGAGGTTATTTGAACTTAGGGATTAAGCTTGATATTCCTAGAAACTATAGGGACCATTTTTGAAGTTTTATCATATATATATATATATATATATATATATATATATATATATATATATATACACACACACACACACTACCTTATAAAAGAAATCTTGTTATTTCTATAAATAAAATCAATATAATAATAATATTTTTTAAGACGTTCAAGTCTTTAAGCTTAAAGTACAACCAACTATTAATATAATAATATTATAATATATATCTTATAAATGATAATGCTATGGATACAAGTATTAAAAACACATTTAAATTAGTATTTTCTTATTTTTAGGGATTGAATTAGTATTTTCATCAATTTTGACCCAATTTGTACTCCTAAAATATCTCTTCTCTGGTATGTGGTGCATTCGAAATCTGAAGCACTTCTTTTCGACAAATCGTTTGAAATTTAAAAGCTCATTCAAATTGGAGTTCCCTAATTTTTTGCATGAAATATAGTTGACTGGAGACTAATTCAAATCTTCATCTCTTTTTCCTCCATGGAATCCAACACCACAATATTTGTTGGTTTTGGCATTGCACTTTTATTTTTGTGAAATCGATCGATAATGGTGCAAGTGTTCTTAGAAATATAACATGTCTCCGAATGGAACTAATTGGTTGAAAGAAACTATTTGCCGCCGCCGCTTTACGCGGTTAAACGGCTAGTATGTGTATATATATACAGTTTGAATCAAGTAATACATTTATAAATCATTCCTCTAGCATAGATGTTAGGAACAAAAATAATAGGCACATATAACATGTAATTATCTTAAATACTTTATATTTATATGTAAGATGAAAGTAATTATGCACTCACTTGTTAAAGTGGATGACTCGAAGCTGGACAACGCTTTGCTTTAGCACTTCAATTTCCCTTTGATATGACCTAGGTTCGTTTATCTCTAAGTCTTAGTTTATTATCTCTTATGACTAATTAATAGTCTAGATCTCTCAGCAATCACAATGTATATTAATCTATAGTTGATAAGAGACAACTAGGTAGGATCATATCGAAGGTAGGGTCTGTTTGGTATACAGAGTATATTGCTTGGATATTCCACTTTAAATACCTCACTAAATCTTGCCTAACCATGATCATCATAAGTAGATGAATTAGTAATATGACGTTGGAGCCACTGACAATTCTTATTTATAAATTCATAACAATGACTATGAGTTTTAAATATAAATTACACTGAAATAATATATAATGTAATTTAATTTACAGAGATATACTAGACCAAGGTCTGGAAATTACACTAGCAGAGTTCCTACTCGATGGCTACTACTTTTCGGATACTCAGGGATCGCAAGGCTTCGTTGAGATATTAAAAACTAGGGAAAAACTGAAGATTATGGAGAGAGAATTTGTATAGAGGGTGTGAGGAACGAATGAACTTGGAACAACTATTTTTACGGAAAAAATGCCATACGTGCGTTGCGACATGTCCGATTTTGGCTGGAGTCACGTTGCCTTCTTCTAAAAGGTATGCATGTCGCGCACGCGCACGTGACAAATTTTAGAATTTCAAAATTGCATAAATGTTTCATACGAACTCCATTTTTTACTTACTTTATATCTACACGTAGCTATTGACAAGATCTACAACTTTCATAGACCCCGTCGGCTAATTTTGACTTTATTTATTTTACACAGGAGTAGACTGTTAAAGCCCATATAATATACATAACTTTGTCATCCGACGTCTATTTCCGACTATCTTTATATCGTTGGAATCCTATTAATGAGATCTTAACCTTTCGTTTAGATTGTTTCAGCTAACAATCAACCGATCTAAAATTTGATTTATGAGTTGTCTATTGATACGTTGAATCTTAGAAAAATCATAACTTTGTCTAATGATATCAGATTTGGATGTTTTTTTTATATGTATGCTCTCGGTTTAACGATTAATACGACTTTTGTTTAGATCACTAAGACTAATAATTGACCCGTCTCCTATTTGGTATCTACGATATCCTTATGCGCGTCGGTTCGAACGTGAAACTTCAACGGATCATCACTTCTTCGTTATAAATTTGATTTGAGTGCTCCTTATATCTCCAAAATCCTTGTCATGGCTATTTCAACGGATCATAACTTCTATTTAAACGTGTAGTCTATTCCTATTTTATTATATTATAGTAAGTACGTATACTACAATTAATTACATATAAATCACATTATACTCAAATAATTTTCCTTTATCATATCAAATAAGTTACAATTGTTGACCCTAATTATTACATCATCAAATTAATGCCTAACCAAAAAGGCGTGTGTTACATTATAAATGGCTTTCCCACGGAGTTTTTTCTTGCACAGAAACTACAAACTTGGAAATTGATTAGCATCAAAGCCTATACGAATGTTATATGAAAAAAACATAGGTTTGGCATCAAAAACCAAACTTTCAATACATAATATTTTAGTGCTTGGTTATGAGCCTTTCAACAAACAATTGGTGGGCATACAAATAACCAAAGTTAATTTACCTCAGCAAAGGCCTAGATGTTGTTTCTTTTGACCACCATCATGAAGTATCCCCTCTTCATCAACTAAAATGAACACTGGAACCGAAAAAAATTGTAACTTCATTGAAGAAAGAATATTAGGGAAAACCAAAGAAGAAATGGTGGAACACAACCCTTCAAATGAAGCAGGTTTCAATAACCTTGCCAATAACCCTTAATTGATTTGTTGCAATGTAATTAGGTGAGAGAGGCGGTGAGTTGAGCCACAACTCAATATCTGAAGCCGGCTTATGAACGTTATTGTTCATAATCTGGAATGTGCCTTAATATTATATATAATTTTAGACTATTTAAATAAAACAATTTTCCTTAAAATCTTACCAATTGCTCTTTAAAATTTTTATTCTCGATTGAGTTTTTCCATGCTAATATGCCATGCACATCATACCAGTTGCTCTTTAAAGTCTTTATTCGCGATTTTATATATGGATTTTATTTTATCCAAGAGTTGGAAAGCTAGACAAATAATTGATGTTAAAACGCACCGATTAACTTATTCTTAAAGTCATTGTCTAATTTAAAATGAGTACCGAGATTACCACCATGTCAACCACAACCTCAACAAGTTTCTCATCATTCATAAGATGATTTAGCGGGATTATGTTGCTAATTTAGTTGTGAGTCAGATTGATTTGACAATTTGCTTGAGATTTTAATGTGTTCAAAACCAATTTGTAGAAGTAGCAGCCGATAGTCGCGATTCACTAAAGAAAATAAACAGTAAAAACAGGATAGTCGCAATTCACTAGAGAAAATAAACAGTAAAAACGGGGTATAATTGATAAGAACGAAAAAGGAAAGTAAATCCTTCTTGATTACTCCTTTTTCCTTTGAATAATGTATTTATTTTCATTCATTATCTTATGTGATAAGGCCATATCGTGGCCTCAATACATCTATTTTTTTAAAACGGGTAAGCAAAATGTTCCCTTTCTTTTCAAAAATGGAGTTTCCCGGCCGCACTACAATTTTCCCCGGCTGCTATGCGTGGATATAGGAGAGGGGGCTCGCTTTTTAGACATTATGCGAAAACATCATTTCAAAATTCCTAAATTATAATTAAAAAAGAAAATAAAGAAAAATCTTTTTTAATAGCCCAAGTTCAGTTATGCCCTACACTAATTACAATGGCCTAGAATAACTTAGCCTAAATTTTAAGTAACGACCCAATGTTTTTTTTTTTTTTTTTGACACCAACTAACCTAATAGGTGATAGTTTGAACTTTGAAATTTGAACACAACTTTAGGTTTATAATGCAAGTTGTATAAAAGTTGAATGAGGTGATTATTAGGATTGAATAGGAGTTGAATGGAGTGTGGATGATGACATGAAGTAAAGTTAAATGATTTCGAACGGCAAATACAAATATATACTAAACCCTCCTAAATCATTTCACCTATGTCCATAGTGAGACTTGAACCCCCGACCTCAAGAAGAAAAGACAACACCAGATACCGCTGGGCTAGAATGGTTCAATAGAAATAATAAAGTGGTGATTATGACTCCATAAGAGTTTAATAGGTTGTCAGTGTTGTTATATAGGTGTTTAATAGATGATATGACAATCTATTAAATTTTATAGTGTTCAATGGGTTGTAGATGCCCTAAGCATAACCCACAATAAGAAAGAAATATCAACGCCTCTAAACTCTTACCTTGTTCTTCGTTTCAAAATTCCTAAATTATAATAAATAAATAAATTCCTCAAGAAGAAAAGACAACACCAGATACCGTTGGGTTAGAATGGTTCAATAGAAATAATAAAGTGGTGATTATGACTGCATAAGAATTTAATAGGTTGTGAGTGTTGTTATATAGGTGTTTAATGGATGATATAGCAATCTATTAAATTTTATAGTGTTCAATGGGTTGTGGATACCCTAAGCATAACCCACAATAAGAAAGAAATATTAACGCCTCTAAACTCTTACCTTGTTCTTCGTTTCAAAATTCCTAAATTATAATAAATAAATAAATTCCTCAAGAAGAAAAAACAGCACCAGATACCGTTGGGCTATAATGGTTCAATAGAAATAATAAAGTGGTGATTATGACTGCATAAGAGTTTAATAGGTTGTGAGTGTTGTTATATAGGTGTTTAATGAATGATATAGCAATCTATTAAATTATATAGTGTTCAATGGGTTGTGGATGCCCTAAGCATAACCCACAATAAGAAAGAAATATTAAAGCCTCTAAACTCTTACCTTGTTCTTCGTTTCAAAATTCCTAAATTATAATAAATAAATAAATAAATAAATAATAAGAAAACAAAACCTTTTAACGTAGTTTTAGAAAGAATATGTTTTCAATGTTCTAAAAAGAAAAATAACAAGAAAGAATAATATTCAAAAACCCATACTCAATTGCTATTGTTTCGTCTTGTTCACCGCTAATCTCTCTTGGATTTTACCTCTTGGTTGCTCGAAGATTGTCCTTCATTAGGTGTCATAAAGGCAACCGCATGAGCCACGATAGTTCCTTCTTTCTCGACCACTAAGGGCTCCACTTGAGGGGATCCCAAAGTTGCAACCTGCTAAACCAGTGAATACAAAGAGTAAATAATCTCCTACAAAAAAAATACAACATGTATTTAATTAAGTAGGAAGAAAGAATTGTCACCTCATCGTAAGCGAAGAACGAGCCATATGAGAAGCTCATATATGTCTGAATATTCGATCTGAAATCAGCAAAAGCATCCGGGTTGAAACTCCATGGTGTAAGGAATGAATTATCGACTTCTAAGAATGACAAGAGTCTTTGAAAGTTGCTTTTACTGTGGTCAACAGAAGTTTCATACGGATTTTGGTTCCAGGTTGATCTCCATTCTTGTTCTTTCCATGGATTCATAGCTTCACTGATAATCGCAAAGAACTTCAGGTTGGTTTTGAAAACGGTTTGCATGTGAAGGACCTGGGGGTTTCTAAAATAGTCGATATATACCTAGGGTTTTACGGAATAAGATTTGTTGGATGTTAAGATAACTATATCTTTTGTATGTACAAATCCAGTTGTAATCGCAATCCTACTCCAATTTGGATTTTTGGGTCTGACTTTTAATATGTATACATCCAAGGTTACTCTAGGTCAAACATTAATGATGCCTTATATTGTGAGGATATATCTTCGGATGAAAGAGCAACCTCTGCTTCCTTTAGGCAAATCCATGTTATTTGACCGTAACGGACAAAATAGTGATTCGGAGATTGAGAATAATGCAATTCCAAAAGGTAATGTGGCCCATGAATTTCAAAATAAGAGATAAATGTGTGAAATTTAAGTCCAAAAATTCAAGAAAAATGTTCAGAAAAATCTTATTATTTTCAAAAAAAAAAATTCAAAAGAGTCTCATTTTTTAATAGAAAAACCCAACACACCAACTAATTCTTTCACTTTGGTCCCTTTTTACCCTTCAAGCGGTCACTTGCACATGTTTCACTCCAAGATGGAAAGCACTAATATAATGATTTGGGATAACATAGCAGCTAACGTGTCACGTTATGGATTTCGAACCTATGCCTTTCTTCCTACAAAGGAAACACTTACCAATGTAGTTAGATGCCTTGGTTGTTTTAATTCTTCTATATATACATATATACTAAATATATTGCTGAAGCTTTAAAAAAAAAAAAAAAAACGAGAGGAGTAAGATTCGAACTTGCACCCCTCCTACATTTAAACAAGTAACTTACTAAGGTAGTGTTTGTTTTTTGTCTGCAGATCTGCAAGACGTCTTCTGTCTGCGCCGCGCAGACCACGCGCAGACATTAGTCTTCGCAGACTGTTTGTTTTTTTGAAGACTGCAGACCTAAAAATGTCTGCGCGCCCTCTTCTTGGCGCAGATGTGGACCAGAGTCTTCTAACATCTTCAGACATCTTCTAGCTTAAAAAAACATATATATCTTTATTTTTTTTAAGTTTTTTTTTTTAATTTATATTTTTTCCAACTTTATTAATGATAAACAATATGAAAAAAAATGACAAAACTTAAAAAAAAAACATTTGACGATACAAACATGATATTTTTAACAAATTTATAAATAAAAATTTATTATAATAATAGTCGTTGAAATTGTTTATATAAATATGAAAAAAAAAAATCAAAATATATTCTTATATTTTTTTGCCAAAATTTTGTAAAACTTTATTTAATAGAGTATCATCAATTTCTCGAGAAAATATTTATCGTACGTTTTTAATAGATTTATTTGAAAAAATCGAAGTTTATTTCCATCTATTTATGTACAAATTCTTTGATCACTAATTATAATGTTTAGTTATAACTTTGCAATCAAAGTTGTTGGTTTTTATCAAATATGTATATGAATTAATACCATTTTTATTTTTATTTTTTATATAATAATACATAAAAGTTGATCTAGATTCGTTATATATTTATAATAAAGTCGTAAAAATATATAAAAAATTCGCTTTGAAGTTTTAAAAAATCAGTTTATTTAGATTTCAGTTTATTTTAATAGCCCGCAGATGTTAAAAAAACAAACAGTCTTCTTTTTTCAGACTGCAAACGTTTGATCCACCTCTTCTACTGCAGAGGTCTACAGATGTGGTCCGCAGACTGCAGACATTTTGCCTCAGAAAAAACAAACAGCACCTAAGTAACTATAAGATTTATATTTTTTTTTGTACTTCACTTATATATATATATATATATATATATATATGTGTGTGTGTGTGTGTGTGTGTGTGTGTGTGTGAAAAGTGAATATACCCTTAAGGGTATATAAGCTTAGGTACCAAAACTCATAGTTTTCCGAGAACTAAAGGTGTAACGTTATATCAAAATAAATTCATTAAGAGCATGATTGTCATCCTACCAATCTCATTTAATGTTTATTCTTTTGTGTTATTGGATCATCGCCTGCACTTCGGCCATCGTCATTGGTTCAGGAGCAGCTACCACAACTGATATTTGCTAAATCACTGGAGGTTGGTTTCTATTTCCATTTGCATTCCCAGCTCCACTGCGGGTTCTTGCCATCTTGATCTATACACCGAATAAGGTGAATTTAGATCTTTATACAAGATAGACGTTTAAATCATCCTTATCCCTCTGAAATGTTTACATGTTATTTCTAATATCGTAGTCATACGTTTAGAATCCTAAACACATAAGGTTTTCAGATCCAGTCGGCAACAGACCAAAGATCCGAACAGATAACAGCATATCAGCCACAAGACATTTAGCACATAAAGGCATTTTAGGCACAATTCCTAAAATAAGCTAGTGCTCACATCTCACAATCATCGCTTAGCATTCTAAGTTTTAGTCAAGAATTCCTAGTTCGCTTAAACTACTGCTCTAATACCAACTGTGACATCCCCATTTTCACGGCCAGAAAAGACCGATTTTGTTTATTCTTTGTTTTAAAATCAGAGTAACATTTTAAATAAAAGTGTTGCGGAATTTGTCCCAAAACAAAAGATGATAAAGATTTATCAAAAGCATTTCCATAGAAATGTATTTCATTAAAAAGACTTGGGATGTCATGTTCGATACAGATCATAAGCATAAACAATACAACATAGGCCTTACTACATTATTCCGTATTTCCAGGCCTAAAATCCCTTAATCTCTCATCTTATGACATCACATCTATGCACATGCGCCACTACATGTAATACAACAAACTGAGTGGGTCAGGCTTGGGAGCCTGGTGAGCACATAGGGTTTTCAACCCACAATAAATAAGTTTACTAATTTCATCAATCAACAATAACCCGATTACCCATTACCGTTATCCTCTCGTTACGTACCTAAAAACCTATCATAAGGGACCTAGCCTAAGGATCATCATCGGGATGGACGCTACTGCTAAGGGGATTCCTTAGCAATAAATGTCCTTAAGGCAACCATGTGGGGGATGGAGTACACCTAATGAGCACACAGCTCAAATAAACACCTACAGGTTGCGAGCCTGATAGCGTTCCACCGGACTGTATAGAATAGTCTGTGGTCGTCATCTATACTCCGCTAGATGACTAGATCATCAATACCATCTATAACGAGGCCTCTCATTATTTTATTTGGTCACACAGCAACTATCACATCTACCCATGTTTTATCCAACACATTTTGTAACAGCCGGATTTTTCAGGTATCTTGTATATTTGTGTTTTTGGTGATTTGAGAGGGGACTCGGCGAGTTGGAGCTCAGACTCGCCGAGTAGGGACGCGGATCTGGTCGCGGGATCGCGCCTGGACTCGGCGAGTCAGCGCTGTGTAATGAAACCCTAATTTCTCGGGTTTGAGACCTATTTAAAGGGCCTAATGGCCGTCATTTGTGCTCACCAGTCCCTTGAGTGAAACCCTAATCGAGTGTGAGCATTTGGAGCAAAGTAGGAGGCTATTATTGATCTTGGAGGTGTCATTGTTGCAAGGAAGGAGAAGAACTAGCCAAGGGAAAGCAAGTGGAGCCACTTCTGAGGGTTTGGAGTCCAGAGCATCACTTTTGTGGTAATAATTTCGAGTTATCTTCTTCCTTGTTGATGTTTATCTAGATTTAGGGTTTGTTGGACCCTTTTGTGGCAAGATCTAGTGCCCTCTTGGTCCCTTATGAGGTTTGAACCATAGATCTGGACCCTTAGAGGTCCAGAGTGTCCCTTTACCCAAGCTTTTTGGGAATCAATGGAGGCTTTGGATTGGAATCCTCATGCCTTAGGTCAAAAATCCATTTATGAGCCATGGGGTGTGTTATGGGTACCAAGATAGAAGCTTTACGTGATGAATCAGTCTAGGGAGGCCAGATCTATAGATTGTGGAAGCAGATCTGACCTTAGAAGCAAGTTGGAGTGGTTGCATGGCATGGACTCGCCGAGTCTGTTCATCAAACTCGGCGAGTAGTTTGAAGATTGCCTTGGGATTGCTCAGTGAGTGGTCCAATCGAGTCATGGGTAGACTCAGTGAGTCAGGGTGAGTTAGAGAGGGACAACAAGTGGACTGAGTCGAACTAGGACTCGCCGAGTTGTTCTTGAGACTCGGCGAGTTGAGTCGGGGTGGCCCCGCGATTCTTCCAGGTGAAACTCATCGAGTAAGGGGGGAATACTCGACGTGTAGGAAGGGAATTTCAGAGGGTTGGTGAAAGCGTCTAGACTCGCCGAGTCCGGTCAAAGTTGACCGTTGACCAGAGTTGACCTGTGTTGACTTCTTAGGGATAGTCAACATTAGAGATATAAAGTGTTAATTAGAGACATATGATGTTATAGAAGGATTAGAGCTCGGAGGATCGAGCACGAGGGATTTCCAGGATTCGTGAGATACCGAGATACGCGAGGTGAGTCTTCTCACTATACTTTACCTTGAGTAGGTAACCAGAGTTATGTGATAGAGTATTTGTATGCTATGTATGTTATGTGTTGTACTGCATTATTTCTATGTGATTTATGTGGTGCATGATTATCAGAGTTAGAACCTGAGGGTTCGCAGAGTTTGGGTGTACGGACCCACAGAGTTATAGCCTCGAGTGGCTATTATGTGTTAAACGTGGTATTTTGGGGAACTCACTAAGCTTTGCGCTTACAGTGTTTGATGTTATTGTTTCAGGTACTAGTGATGACCGCGGGAAGGCGCCGTCTTCATCCGTACACATACACTCGGAGTTTTTACATTGTGATCTTGGGATTTTGTATTGACCTATATTGGATAATTAATATGGTTGTTTGATGAATATTAATCGAATTATGTTTTATAAGAAAATTGAACATTTTGTTTTGAAATTTACGGTGTTACACATTTTGTAGATATAAAATACGTATACAATTTAAAACATTTAAAACATGTATAAAAATCTTTCATCAAACATAGACAGCAAGTATTCAGGCAATATGCACACACAAAACGTAAATTATATAATAAATACTTCATATCTATGTGTAAGATGAAAGAGACTATGCACTCACTTGAAAAAGGTGGTGATTCTTCCTTCGTACAACGCTTTTGTATCTCTAAACAATTATCCCTCGATAAAACCTAGTAACAATATCT